TTGTAGTAAAACTCGTTGTGGTAAAAGTAGTTGAGGAGCGACGAAATGACGGGCGAGAACGTGTGGTTGTACTCGGGCGTCACGACGACGAACGCATCGCTCTCCGTAAACTTGGCGTGCAGCTCGACAAGCGCCGGCGACCGGTCGGCTTCCGGAATGTAGTCGAAGCGCGTGCCAAAGAGCGGCACGTCGAGCGCGACGGGGTCGATGAGGTGCACCTTGGCGCCGAGGGCTTCAAGCTGGGCCTGGACATAGCTGCCGGCGCGGACGCCTTGGCGACCGGGGCGAACCGAGCCGAGGATGACAGAGACAGTGATGGCCATGGTGGAGAGTTGGGAGGGAGCGGAAGAAATGAAAAGTGAGTGTGCTGGTCGAGATCAGAGAGCTTGCGCCGTTGACCGACGGGGAGCAACTTCTGCAAAGTCGCCTTTAGCCAGACACAATCGCCGCGGAGTAATCTGCGTGGGCTGGTCCACAGTGGATCGGCGTCTTTTCAATGGCCAATGAAATCGCAGCATTGGCGCACGACATCCAGCCACGGGCCAATCAAAACGAAGCTCGGATCTTGGAGAAAGTGCAATCTTAGTATTTAAAGACGGATTTTATTCAACATACGAATATCCAGTATAGTGTGATGACAAGGACCATCTAAAATATTTTTAGGAAGTTGCTTCGGCGGCATCCGCTGAAGTCGGCGCGCCAAGTGCTACGTTCTGGAAGTTGTTTCCTCAGAGTCGCGCCATGGTCAAACCGCACGTTGCACCCAGAGACATGGAGAACAGACACGCTAGGTGCACTCGCCATTGATCTCGACCAGCACACTCACTTTTCATTTCTCTCGCTCCCACCCAACTCTCCACCATGGCCATCACTGTCTCTGTCATCCTCGGCTCGGTTCGCCCCGGTCGCCAAGGCGTCCGCGCCGGCAGCTATGTCCAGGCCCAGCTTGAAGCCCTCGGCGCCAAGGTGCACCTCATCGACCCGTCGCGCTCGACGTGCCGCTCTTTGGCACGCGCTTCGACTACATTCCGGAAGCCGACCGGTCGCCGGCGCTTGTCGAGCTGCACGCCAAGTTTACGGAGAGCGATGCGTTCGTCGTCGTGACGCCCGAGTACAACCACACGTTCTCGCCCGTCATTTCGTCGCTCCTCAACTACTTTTACCACAACGAGTTTTACTACAAGGTCGCCGGCATCGCGTCCTACACGATGGGCCCGTACGGCGGCGTCCGCGCGGCCATCCAGCTGCGCCCGTACCTCGGCGAGCTCGGCTTGATCACGATCCCCAAGATCCTTCCGTTCCCGGCCATCCACGCGCTTCTCAACGAAGACGGTTCGGTCACGGCCGGCGCGGCGGGCGCCGACTCCTTGGCGGCCGTGAGCAAGGGTTTCTTCCCCGAGCTGCTCTGGTACGCGGCCAACCTCAAGGCCGGTCGCGCTGCCGGCACGCCCTAAGTGTAGGAAGACAAAAGTATTTGGAGGCACTACGCATGTAACATGATTTTCGTATTCATCAAAATCTTGTGGATCCAACCGCCAAGTTATCTATCTTAAATCCGTGATACCTACCACTAATTTTGCTTCAATAAAGCGTATTGTACACACTTTCCATGCAAAATATACTACTGATCGTCATTATTGGAGAGTCACGACGTGAAAGCTGCCGAGTCGGACTCCTTGGGGTCGAAATTGCGTCGGAAACCGCCAAGTGGTCGCTCCGGCTGCCACGTGGTTTAATGAATGGCGTGCGATTAGCCAGATCGCGATCTTGTGGGGGCACGACACACATGCCCCTCGACGTCGGCGACAGCGTACGCGTCAGGAGCTCGGGCGCGCTCGGCGAGCTCCTCCAGATCCGCGTCGCGTCGTCGGCCTACGTCGTCAAGCTCAAGGATGGTACGCTTCTGAAGAACGTGCCGTTCAGCGACGTTGAAAAATACTCGGCGGCGGCGACGCCGGCCAAGCAGGCGATCGTACTCGCTCCCGACGCGTTTGCTGTCGGCACCAAAGTTGACGCCAAGTACAAGGGCAAAGCGTATTACCCCGGCGCTGTGGCCAAGGCGCACGGCGACGGTACCTACGACATCGACTATGACGACGGCGAGGTCGAGAAGAAGGTACATCGGGACCTTATCAATGTGCGCGAGGCGCCAACCGTGGCCAAGACCAAAGCAACGGCCAAAGAGTCGTCGCTGCTGACCGTCGGCACCAAGGTCGACGCCAAGTACAAGGGCAAGACGTACTACCCGGGGACGATCGCGCGGGCACACGCCGACGACCGCTACGACATCGACTACGACGACGGCGAAAAGGAAACCAAAGTTCCGCGCGACTACCTTCGGATCGTAGCAGCATCGGCGTCGCCCCCCGGCCAAACGCCCGGCGAACGAAGGCGGCGGCGAGC